AAAATAACTGCAATGCTTATGTAAAAAAATATACATTGTAGAATCAATACAAAGTTTAAAAAATAGAAATAAATCAACATAAAAATTCCATAACATACAATAGAAAGTAAACATATTCATGAAGTTAGTTTTGACTATGTAAAAATACTTGGCAAAGAAAAAAATACAACAAAAGGAAGAATAAAAGAAAATTTATGTATAAAAAAATATTTACAACAAACATTTAACATAACAGGAGATTTCAAGTTTATTCATGATACTTGAAACCAAACTTTGAATTATAAGAAAATTCTAATTAACTTAATGAAAAATATAATGTTAAATAACAAAACCGAGTGTGGCCGATCTCTCTCGAATGTTGGAGACAATGTCAGACATTACTCATGCCAAAATAAATTAAATTATAGCTTGACACTCTCGCTCAATCTCAACTCGGTTTAGCCTCAGTGACGCGGTTGAGAGAGTAGTGCAGGGATCTCCTAGAGACCTGCTTTTCCCTCCACAGTTGGAGGGACAAGTCTGACTCGCAGTTCCTCTGTCTGATTGTAAATATTGTATATAGGTACGCATATATTATTTTTTTATTTTTTTATTTTTACGTTATTTTATTCGTATTTATTGTATATAAATTATATTTATGTATTATTTATTTTTATTATTGTACCTAGAATGTGAGTGTTATCTCTATTAAAAATGTCCTTTGATATTGTAATATTTAATATAAAAATGAAAATATTAAGCAAGAAAATACCATTTTAGACGTCCAAAACCGAAGTAATGAAAAGCAAACAGATTATTAAAAACAATGAATTGTTATGTTAAATTCTGCTTTATTCTCCCTCTCTTTTTAATAATTAATAAAAACTTCATGATAAATATTGGATAAAATCTGTGATAGATACTCTATTCATAATATAATGTTTTCAACTCATTAATAGGTAATAAGTTTTATACGTCTAAAAAACGGTAAAAATAGGATTAGATTTGAAGTTAGAATACTTAGGAAAGTGATATATTAACCTCAGGCAATTTCATCAGCCAGACCCAGGACCACGTATTCTCCCTCAGGACTATCATTGAAAAGGCATGGGAACGAAGGAAGAGCATGTTTCTTGATATTAAGGCGGCATTTCATTTGGTTCTTAGACAAGAAGTTGCGGCAGTTCTAGCCACAAAAAAATGTACCCAATGCACTAATAGATGCTTTAAAATCCACGTACCGCAACACAAAAGGTGTAATAAGAATAAATGGAAATGAAACCGAACCTTTAGAAATTAAAAAAAGGAGAGAGTCTACAGTTTATCATATTCAAGGGTGAAATCTTAAAAATATGGAAGAGGAGGATAGCATGTACAGTTGTTGGGATGTGCAATATGAGGACAATCCTTGCTCAGGCTATGGTTTTTGCAGATGACATTGTTCTCATGATTCAAAAGAAAACATGCAGCAAGGAATCCTAGAGTGAGTGGGAAACTGAGCTGGATAGAAAGGGGATGATGATCAATGCAAATAAGAGCAAGGTAATGTATATAAGACGAAAGGAAGAAAATGTGAAGATCCGATGAAGAGGAGATAACTTAACAGAGAAGACTGAGGAATATACCTATCTAGGTACAGTCATCAGCAGGAATGGAAAGATTGACGGAGAGGTTTTCAACCTGATCAAATAGGCAAATAATGTCTACTACCAACTATGCAACACAATTGCTGGAAAGTGGGAAGCGGGAATTTAATCTTCTCTGTGGAAGCGAAAGCTGAGTTCCACTGGACAAGCACTGGAGCCGAGTAACTTCTACAGAAATGAGATACCTGAGGAGAGTGGCTGGCCGAACCAGAAGAGATCTGGTTAGAAATAAGCGAATACGAAAGGATCTGGGAGTTTCAGCTGTAAAAGAGGTGGTTGAGAGGAAGCAGCTGAAATGGTTTGGAAACCTTTTCCGAATGGAGGAAGATCGGTATCCAAGGAAGTACTTCGAAGCTAGGCCAACTGGAAGACGTCCTCGGGGAAGACCTAGGCTAACGTGGTTACCACATCTCTAAGCTGGGATAGAAAAGAAGACGCGGGTTGAATGCCATGAGGCGCTTGCCAGAGACCGGGATGCGTTGCTGGAATGGACTGAAAAGCACAAGAAGGAAGAAGAAGAAGAACACTTGTATCATAGAGAGCATACGAGAAACATTGATTGAAAAATTCGTCCAGAAAGCTAGTTTAATATATAATAAATAGTACCTAAGATATTTTTATAAGTAAAATTAAATAGTAAAATAATGTTAGAAACATAAACATTTAAGAGATATTAATATCTATTATAAATATTTATAAAGGTTACAGAGAGTGAAGAAAAAAGCATACATTTATCACAATAGACGGTTGGTTAGTGATTTAAGTGAATACGTTGTATTATCTTATAATTCTCTCTAACCAATATCTATTCACAGTGAGTGAAAGAAGTGGGATGCGCAAATGCAACCGATTTTTTATAATTCATTAGGATATTATGAAATATATCATACGAATATGATGAATCAAATAGGTGAAGAATATAAATAAGAAAATTATTTAAAAATGAAATTGCATTTATAAAATTTATATTAAACAAAAAAAAAATATACTCCAACCTATAAGTCTACTGAATCGCTATATTATAATCAATTTGATATTAATACTCCTACTACTACTTTTAGAATGCGAAATATTTATGTAGTTGCATTGTAACGCGCAGAAGCTTGACAAAGCTTGAGGAAAATGCTTTCGCTAAAAATAAAAACATTTGAACAAGTAGCAAAACCTTATGATGGATACTCGTTAATAAATATCAATTTTCTACTTTTCATTTACCAATTTTGACCTTTATTATAAATATCTTTTCACACTTAGTATAAGCCTGAGTATAGAAACAGTCGAGGATAGGAAGTTAGCTGATGTGAGTCAAGTTCAGTTTACGTTTTCGCTGGATTTGATTTTGAGAAAGAAAAATTTTACTCAACAGGTGTTCACAGGTGAAGACTAAAGGCTGCTCTTCGAAGTACGGGCCCCAGTTCACTAAACGAGAAGTTCGAACTGTTCTTTTTTTCCTTTATTTTTGTCTATAAGTCATTTTAATTTTATTTTTTTTCTTTATTTTCAATAAATATTATTTTTATTTTTATTTTTATTCTTCATCATGACCCATCTCCCCTCTCCCCTGAGCTAAGAGCAAATTTAAAGGTGGCTGCAGATAGAGGTAACAGCTTATTGAATTTTGTGTCTGGTGTTTCCCTTTCCCTGATCTCCCTGGTCTTTGGAGGACAAGACAAGACTCGTAGAGATCCCAGCGCTTCTCCCTCAGCGTAGCATGAGAAGCGAGTGGAAACTGACATAGGGCACTAGAGCAATTTTTCTCGTTTCTTGGCATCCCATTCACCAAAGTTAACAACTTATATTTTTCTTTCGCGTTCTATTTTATTGGAATTTTACATCGTTTTAGTGTACGATGAATTAATAGCCAATATCTACGGTAAAAGGAAATAGTTGTAATCTCTATAAAAAAAAAATATATATATATTCATCAATACTTTTTTTTCATTTCTATCCGCACCATCATTACTTAAATGAATTTCATTATTATCAAGTAGTTTTTATATAATCTCTTTTTGATAATTTCATGATATCTGGAATAGAATTAAATTCCCATTAAAAGGGTTTCCCTGTACGCATTGAGATATGAGTCGTTTGTTTTCAAACTGAACCCTAAATATTACTTTCAATTTATTTCAATTGCAATTTAAAAATCAATATTTAAAAAATAAAGAAATGTTTTATTTGTAGCGCATATATTTTAGAAAATCGTTGATTATTTTTATAATAATTATAAGTTATTGAATTATGTAATATATTATATTGCTTTGTTATAATATTTTCAGATATACCCGTAACTCATACGCAAAAAAACAACTAATATATATATTTATAAACATATTAATTTACTACTACAAATAACTTATAAAACCTTTATGGACTTCAGGGAAAGAGATATGGAGTACAATTATTTATGCTGACAATATAAAATACTTTGCAGATAGTCAATTTCAAAGTATGAGAGATTTTCATATTTATGTTAGTAAAAAGAAACGACTAGAAACCGCCCAACGTTTTCGACTACTGCAGCACTTACTAGACAAACGCTCTAAGCTTTCAATCAATTATAAACGACTCATATATTTGACAATAATAAGACCGATTTGGACTTACTGAATTGAGCTTAGGGGCTCCACTAAACCAACGAATTCCTCTCGTATACAATCCTAACAATACAAAATCCTTCGTAAAATCCTCAACGCTCCTTAATTTGTCACAAATAAAATCATCCATAAAGACCTTAATGTTCCATATGTTTCCGATTTGGCCCAATCCAGGTACCTATCCTTCCATAACAAACTGCAGAACCATCCGAACCCTCTCGTTTCAAACTTTGCTTCCTCCTCGATCCCTGATAATCCTCCGAGGGGTCTGAAAAGAAGATTGCCTCGGGACCTTCTAATATAGAACTTTAATTTGAGTTCTACCAATGGGTAGTTTCTCTTCATGTTTTACATGTCATGTTACCAATGTCACATTTATTTGTTGTATTTTTCATGTAATACAAATGTAAATTTCATTAAAATAAAAAAAATAAATAAAAATTTAGTAAAAAAAATGTTAAATACAATACTCAAAAAATATAGGTATTTTGACATTCCTTGAGGGAAAAACACGGTTTTAATCATATATATATATATATATATATATATATATATATATATATATATATATATATATATATATATATATATATATATATATATAAAAGAAGTAATTTAATTTTTTTTTTAGTTTAGTGCGTATTTACTTATTATGTATATATATAGTCGAAATTCACGAAAACATTATTAAAAAAAGTTTAGCTCTGTATGAAATGTATCTTAGTGGTTTTTTTGCTATAAACCGATGATTTAAATTATTTATTCAAATATAACTCACAAGACAGAGATGCTAAATGCTGCCTGATGCTGGCCGCGTCCATGGTGCCACGCTCAACGACTAATCGCCCAGCAGGGGAAGGAGCCGCTATATCTGCAAGAAGTGGAGGGGCGCGTCTGAGTCATCTCTTCAGGGTGTCCTCAGGAGTGGGTAAGGCCAACACCCGCGAGATCCCGATAAGTGTTTGTTCAGTAATCAACGATCAAGCTGTTTTATATTTACAGAATTAATTGATCTTTTTTTTCCTCTCGTAAATGTAACTTCTTAATGCATCCTTAATGCGTGTATACAGGAAATACGTCTTCGTCTGACCTCAGGTTATCTCTTTGAGGACTATCGAGTTCAATGAAAAATTATTTATACATAGGATGGGTAAACGACCAAGTGTGCGTGATAAAGTAAATAAAACGAATTATATATAAAATATCACTAAAATATATGGTAGATGCATTCATTTCACTTTTCTACCTATAAAAATACAAACTACTATAAATTTAAGAAATTTAATAATCATTTTAATAATCGTTTACTATGCGCGTTGCCCGGTAGCGTACTTAGACAAATATTCACTTAGAACTTACGGTTGACAGGAACTTAACAGACGATATGGCCAGTTATATAAGACTACTGAATAGAAAATCTAAACTTTCTGGTGAAAACAAATTACTGATCTACAAGACAATACTGAAACCCATCTGGACTTACGGACTAGAACTGTGGGGAACAGCTAAATTTTCTAACATCAAACGCATTCAACCCTTTCAGTCTAAAGTCCTCCGTACAATAGTCGATGCTCCCTTCTATGTAACCAATAAAACCCTACATCATGACCTTAATATCCCATTTATTCTTGATCTTATCCCAGCCAAATTTTCCAAATTTTTTTTTCTTTACTCTTTTGTTCTTTTTTCTTATTATTTTGTTATTACTTTATTTATTTATATTTTTGTATATAAGGTATGAATGCACTCTCTGAACTCTATTATAAGTGTCCTTAAGCTGTGACAAATTGTAATATTTCTGAATAAAGTGTTTAATAATTAAAAAAAAAAGAACTTACGGTACTTATTTAATAGCCGGTAGCGTCCGATTGCTATCTGCCAATGTTTATAACCTTAACACTGATAAGCTCTTTGTATTCATGTTTATTGTATTGTATTGATATTATTATATCTTCGTATTCATATTTATTGTATTGTATTGATATTATTGAAATTGTGAACAAAAACAAAAATAAAGGTAATAATAAAAAAATACTTTTATTTTACAACATATATATTAAAATCGACCAAAACATTCTAAATATGTAATTAAAAAACTTTACGAAAATATTGCAACATATATATCATATTAAAAAGACAAGAACTTACTAGACGATATAGCCAACTTTCACATCTTTTGGACTACTGATCTTCACTTAACTTACGAAACAAGCAACTTAACTACAACACCTTACTGAGACCAATATGGAGATATGGAGCAGAACTTTGTAGTTCAGCAAAACAAACACACATAAACAAAATGCAAACATCACAATCAATAATTTTACGAAAAATCGTTAACGCACCTTGGTACATTTCAAACACTACTATACATAACGACTTAAACACCCCAACAGTAAAATCCTACATCCACGGCAAATACACTACATTTCATTCTTCAACCCAAAATCACTCCAATCATCTGGTTCTTTCTATCTCCTGCTCCCTGTTACCTGAGCAACGAAGATTAAGAAGAAAATGGCCAAGAGACCTAATACATCAATAAAAACATCAACATAAAAAAAAATTAAGCAATTACACCAAGACAATTAAAACACAACAAATTTGCTAGATGCGCAGGTGCAAATTGCATAAAATAAGATATAAATAAAATATAAAATAAATAAAAATAGATAAAAAATAGACAAAAATAGATGAAACAATAAAAAATCACTTCATATGTATCAAAACCACTGTATTGTTGTTAAATTATGGGACCACTCATCAATGAATTTTAAAGCCCTTAAAATAGAAATCTTTGACCCCTCTAACCACGTTCCTTTCCTTATAGAAACGGTTTTGTTACAACTACGAAAGCATCTCCATTTAATCTTCCCGTCGAACTTCATTTGATGACCTTCACAATATTTCACGTTTGCAAAAATATCACGGCGTCTTAAAATATTTGATAGCCTCTTCTTCTGAAGACGGCAATTCGCACAATGTGGCAACATCCATAATTAAATAACACTAACTAACAGCTAACACAAGGAACAAAAAATAAACAAGGGAATAACTTAGGTTAGATGAGATAAGGGAGGTTATGTGAAATGAGATTAGATAAGAAGGGAGGTTTTGACGCTACCCGCTATTAAATAAGTACCGAACTTACATTCAAAATTAAAAAAAAAACATTCTTCCAAAAGTTTACTATTTAGCAAAAAATCATCAGTAGCTAAATGAAGAAAATTCGTCATTTGTATATTACAGAAATTTTTTTTTTCAATCCGCACTTGATAATTATATTTATTAACAATCAGCAGATATACTGGTTAATAGCAACTAAAGAAAATAATTGATTCTCGTCATTTTAATTCTGAATAAATTAAATTCTATCAGAGCTAAAGAGATGCCGGCATTTTGTGAGACAAGAAATGACGAAACAACTCTCACATCTTCAGGACAACAAACCCTTTCTTAACTATATAAAATGTAAACCTATATCGTTCTGTGTTACAGTAATAATACCCCAAACACATGTTAGTCAAACGTCTAACTTGGAATTCTCATACCAGACTGGAACGACAAGAAACTGTTCGACGTTTGCGACTACTCCAACACTTACTAGACAAACGCTCTAAGCTTCCAGTTTATTACAAAATACTCATATACATGACTACAATAAGATCTATTTGGAGTTGCAGAGTTGAGCTTTGGGGCTCCACTTAGCCATCGAACTCCTCTCATATCCAATCCTTACAATCCAAAATCCTTCGTAAAATCCTGAATGCTCCTTACTTTGTCAATAATAAAATCCACCATAACGACCTTAATGTTATGTTTCCGATTTGGCCCGATCCAGATACCTATCCTTCCATAATAAACTTCTGAACCATCAAAAGCCTCTCGTTTCGATCCCTGATAACCCTCCGAGACGTCTGAAAAGAAGATAGCCTCGAGATCTCCTTATGTAAATACATTTTTAGAGTGCTACCAGCGGCTAGTTTCTCGACAAGTAGTTTCATTTTATTATATTCTTGCGTTCACATTTACTGAATATATTGTAATTTGTAATACAGTTGTAAATATCATAAATAAAATAAAAATAAATTTTGGTTTTGCCGGACATTATTATCCTCCCATGGATCCATACCTCGCCAGTTATAGAGAACTCGATGGATTGCTGTCGAAAAGATACATCACTTCCTATTGAAGCACAAAGCCTGTTTCTTCAAATAATGAAAAAAACATAAAAAATGTAACGTTATATATGCTGATGCTTTAAAAGTAAACAACGAAGTAGGATCTGCTATTGTCAACTCTTAAATAGAAAAGTACTTCAAACTTCCGGAGATCTGCTCCGTGTTTAGTGGAGAGATGATCGCTATTAGATAAGCTTTGACTTACATTGAGACAACGGTCTATTAAAAATATCTGGTGGAAACTGACAGAAAAGGGAAAGGAAATAATATTCATGTAAGGCCCTTCACACTTCGGAATTGTCGGATACGAACAGGCAGACAAAGCAGCAAATATGGCGAGAAGGCTAGATAGAAATCCAACAGCTATAATCAAAGAAATCCCGATAGAAGATTTCATACATCATATAAAAAAAAATTGCGGGTAATGTGGCAGAACGTATGACAACAAAAAGAAACTAAATTAAAAGAAACAAAAAAACCACTGTTCCAAATAGAAAACTATTAACCGACTCTCCAGGAAAGAGGCAGTCCTCTGCTGCTTAAGAATCGGGCATTGCGAATTTTCAAATGCCTCTTTACTAAGAGGACTAGACCCACCGACCTGCGAGAGCTGTAAGGTGTAAAGAACAGCCCAACATATCATACAAGACTGCCCAGTATTTAAGAATATAAGGAAAAATTTGAATATGGCTCAGGGTCTAAAAGAAAACCCACTGACAACGAAAAAGCCGTGGAAAAAAAACCTTGCAAGTTTTAAAAATTTTAAAGTTCTACAACATAATATAATTAGGAAGTGTTGTCAATGACCCTGCAGGGTAGAGGCAACAATAAAAACAAATAAATAAAAATCTTAAAAAACAACAACCAGATCTATTAGGAATTACAGAGCTTTGACGGTCGCCAAAGCAAACACATCAATAAAATTCAAAATGTACACAAATTCCACGAAAAATGGTTAACCAACTATGGTTTATTTCAAATAAAACTGTACATAATGACTTGAATATTTCAACAGCAAAATCTTCCATTCATGACAAATACACAACATTTAATTTTTCAACCAAAATTTACCTTAATCCACTCGTTCGTTTCCTTGTTATCTATCAGAAGAGGATTGAAAATTGCCCCAAGATCTCCTTCGTCAATAACTAAATAAGGCCATTATTAAGAAAATTGGCAGGAAATAATCAGAAACATCAAACTTACTAGATGTACTACTACGTAGTTAAAAATGAAGAAAAGGAATCAATAAATAAAAAAAAATCAATCTTCAATATAGAGATCTGTAGTTTTAGATTTTTTGGAATAATTATTTTCTTTACATTTTATTCACACCTCTCATTCACGAAAGTGACAATAACCAAATTACTAATTATCAATAATAAGCAGATGAAACTGGAACAGGATAGCATCCAGACCGTCCGAGCAAGTTTGTTGATGAAACAATTTTTCTGAATTGAATACCGTAACAGTGTGAAGTCGTTTACAAAACATTATTGTAGTTAAATCGTATCCATTGATCTTAGTGAACTATGCTAAAAGTAGCAATTAACATTTTAAGAAATTGGAAGAGTGGATAGTGAAGACAAAATTAATTTAAAAATTAAAGTTATTTCAGAATATTTCACAATGAAGAAGCGGTCAGA